TTTAAATTATAATTATCTTACTCACCTATAATAATATTTTATTTTTAATGACACAATATTTAGACAAAAGATCGATAACTGTTGGATAGTATTGGTAATTAATGCAAATCTGGATTCTAAAAATCGAGTTAAAAAAGAAAATCTTTTGATTAGTATAATTATACCTGGGCCAAAAGAGCCAAAAGATCTTAATACTTATCTTTTCCCTATGATCAAAGAATTACAAAAGTTGGAAAGTAAATATCTTTATATTAAATTATTTATTATAAATTTATTTATATTATTAAATTAAATATTTATTAACAATTTATTTAAATTAAGGGTAGAGTATTGGTAAAAGTTATATGAACTAAAATTAGCAACGTAGCTAGTGCAGAAAAATAGCTAGCCAATAAAATTTGCTAATTTTGGTTCATGTAACTTCTACAAATACTCTACCCTTAAATTATTTATTAAATTTTATTTATATTAACTACTTATTAAACTTTATTTTATTTTTTACTAAATGTTGGTTTATTAATAGGGGGTATAAATTGTTATGATGTGTTTAAAGAAGAATATTTTATCCTTCGTGCTGTTATAGTTAATTGGTCAGGTGATACTCTGAGGTTGACAAAATTAATAGGTATAACTGGGCATAATAGTTATAAAGGGTGTTGATATTGTAATTTGAGAGGTGTTTGTACAAACCATATCTATTATCCTACAACTCCACCTTCAAATTTTAATTCAAAAAGATATTGTCCAGCTAATCTACCAAATAGAACACATAAAGAATGGAAAGAAAAGCTTAAGAAAATCTGTAAAGCAAAATCTGAAAAAAGCGAAGTGAATTAATTACTAAATATAGTAATATTGTGTCATTAAAAATAAAATATTATTATAGGTGAGCAAAGATAATTATAATTTAAACTAGTTAAACTATTTTATAAACTATTTATAAATAGTTTAAACTAGTTTAAACTATAATTATATTTGCCCGCCTATACAAAGTTTTCTTATATAATATGAATACTAATTAATTATTTATACAGGAATTAGTAAACATAGCATTCTGTTTGATTTGCCAACAATCTATTTTTCTGATTCTTTTACCATAGATATTATGTATCTATTTTATGAAAACATTGCCAAGTATATGTTCGAACATTGGACAGGGACTTTCTTTTCTGATAAATCACAAAACAGGGAACCGTATATATTGGCTAAGTCAATTTGGCTAGATATTGGAAAACAGATGCATGCATGGTACAAGAATTTACCACCAAATCTTGAAAGACCTTTACGAAATATAATGTTACAT